TATTAAACTACATTCAATCCTTTATTATTTAGTTATAAATTATTGTTAAACAAAAGTTGTTTTCCGATTCTAAATTTGCAATTACTATTTGCAATTTAGTTGTAAAAATCAATATAAGAAATAACTGGAACATATAAAAACTATGACATACATTTTTATTACCTGTAATTATTATAATCAGCTTGGGAATTTTCAAAAACCCCAATCAATTAACATTTTCGTTGCATAATAGTTTACTGCTATAAATTAGAATGATCAAACATTAAATGTGGACAATGTAAATAGGCTATTTGTTTTTTATTCTTTTTCAATTTTGTTTTTTTTTGTTTTTCGTAAGCAACGTGATAATAGTAATCAGTATGAAGTCAAAATGTGATCGGACAATCATTTTTCAATTTTCATTATTCTGCCACTAAAGTTAAACCTCGGTTAACGTTATCTCTGATAAAGACGCTTCGATATAACAAAGTTCGCTATTTCAAGCCGCATTTTACACTAAAAACAGAATTTAATTACATAAATAACAATTTTTATTGCATAATAGTTTTTCGAGCGTACGAAAAAAAATCTGTTATTTACATGAGTTTACTGCTATAAATAAGAATTATTTAACATTATGATTACATAATGATTGCATATGTGAATTATGTAAATAGACTATTTGGCCTTTGTTGTGTTTCAATTTGTTTTTTGGTTTTCGTAGGCGACGTGATAATTGATGTCAAAAGGGGATTCATTTACAATCAAAAAATGTTTCTTTTTCTTGAAACAGGTCATGAACTTGCTACTACTGACATACCTCTATATACATTACCTCTGATAACGAAACTTTGATATAACGAAGTTCCATGCTGCAGAAAAAACAGCTATTAATTGCATAAATAACATTTTCGTTATATAACAGTTTTTCAAACATGCGAAAAATCATTTATTTGCATGGGTTTACTGCTATAAGTGTGATTAAACATTAAATGTGAACTATGTAAATAGGCTATTTGTTAATTTTATTCTGTTTCAGTTTGTTTTTTGTTTTTCGTAGGCGACGTGATAATGATGTTCAGTATGATGTAGAAATGAGCTCAAACAATCATTTTTCTGAAACAACATTGAAACAATACGGTAATACCTCGGTTAACGTTAACTCTGATAAAGAAGTCCGCTATTTCAAGCCGTATTTGACAAAAAAAACACCAATTAATTGCATAAATAACATTTTCGTTACATAAAAGTTTTTCAAACGTGCGAAAAATCATTTATTTACATGGGTTTATTGTTATAAGTATGATTAAGTGTATTTTTTGTTTTCCGTAGCCGACGTGATAATGCTGATCAGTATGATCTAAAAATGAGCTCAAACAACCATTTTTCCTGAAACAATCCTGCAAAACACAAGTCCATGATGTTGCCACTACAGTCATACCTTGCTTGGTTAACGTTACCTCTGATAGAGTGTTATGTATAACCGTTATTGTTTATATTATGTTAGCCCTTATTATTTTATACATGTTTATTTATGTAAGTCATTAAGACAAATACCACTTAGGAAAATCCCATAACTAATCATTGTGTAATGACCATGTTTTGAACAAACTCGAAGGTCCAATCTATAATGACCCTTAAATATGTACATCTGCCTAATGACTTACGAATTAGGGAAAGCTAGGTACTATCTTTCACTTCCAAATATTGTACTCCCACTATGCTAATTGACTACTATAAAATAGGATTTTTGTGTAATACAAAGTCAGTCTGGAGGAGAGTCTGGAGGAGAGTCTGGAGGAGAGTCTGGAAGAGAGTCTAAGAGTAAGAGGTAATATAAACAATAACGGTTATACATAACACTCTATCAGAGGTAACGTTAACCAAGCAAGGTATGACTGTAGTGGCAACATCATGGACTTGTGTTTTGCAGGATTGTTTCAGGAAAAATGGTTGTTTGAGCTCATTTTTAGATCATACTGATCAGCATTATCACGTCGGCTACGGAAAACAAAAAATACACTTAATCATACTTATAACAATAAACCCATGTAAATAAATGATTTTTCGCACGTTTGAAAAACTTTTATGTAACGAAAATGTTATTTATGCAATTAATTGGTGTTTTTTTTGTCAAATACGGCTTGAAATAGCGGACTTCTTTATCAGAGTTAACGTTAACCGAGGTATTACCGTATTGTTTCAATGTTGTTTCAGAAAAATGATTGTTTGAGCTCATTTCTACATCATACTGAACATCATTATCACGTCGCCTACGAAAAACAAAAAACAAACTGAAACAGAATAAAATTAACAAATAGCCTATTTACATAGTTCACATTTAAT